AGGAAAGGAATTTGTTTAGTGTCTTCTGTAAGAATTCTAATTGTTTCGTGTTTGGGGCCTATATGGAGCCGATTGTCAGTTTGATTTTGCCATCTAGTGTCCCTTTAGCGAAAATGAATCTGCCGTTTTTGTCCGTGAGGACTGTGGTGGCAGTGAAGTTCAGGTCTCTACTGAGTATTATGGCTACACCACGAGCTTTCCCTGAGCCTCGTGCGACCCACTGTTGACTGAAGCGGGGGTCGCTCAGGAGTTTGCTGCCGTGGGGTGGGTTGTGTATTTCTTGTAGGAAGGTGATGTGTGGTTTCATGGTGTTTATGTATGCGGTGATGCGTTTTCTTTGATGGGGTTTCCCAGCCCCCTCACGTTTAATGTAATTGCTTTTAGGTTAGCCATCTTGCTTATCTATTATGTGGGGCAATTCCTTGCCAACCCATTCGGGTTGTCTTGTGTCTCTCTCTTCGTGTTGTTTAAAAAAGTGGGGTTGCGCTGACCTAGGGTGTGGTGGGTTAGAGTAAGATTTGGGTTAAAGAGTAGGGGGTAAGTTGTAGAGAGTTTCCTATATGTAGTCATATAGGTGTTTGTTTGGGGTATTTTAGGCCATCTGGCATTTAGCCAGTTGGTCCTAGGTCTCAGCTGGTGTGGAAGGCCGTGTTCAAGGACAGGCCATCCCCCCTGTTGTTTGCGATAGGGGTGATCAGTGAGACAGTGTGAAGTGACTTTGTAACGTCGCTGTCAGGTATAAGGTTCATAAGCAATGTTGCCAATGTTATGAGCAACATTATTGGTGTGTTGGGGTGGGGATGTGGGTGCTGGTACGCTCTGGTGCCACCATAGTGCTGGTTGGGTATCAGATTTTAGCCTGATTGTGGGTTGTGTTATTAAGGTTGTGGGAGTTGTTTTTCCCTAGTATGGAGTATGGGGGTGTTGAAGGTGTGGGTGATGGGGAATGTGGTTGAGGTCGTCTGGACTGGTGTTGGGTTGGGGATTCCTGTGGGGGTGCGGGGCTGGGGGATGTTGATGGTGTTAACTAAATCTATGTTTTTGGGGGAGAGGGGAAAGGGGGGGGGAGTCACCAGTCCTTCAGTTTGTGGTTTTTTCCTGGTTGCTTCATTCAGCTGGGGTTGTTGTTGTTGTAGGGTTGTCCATCTGCGATGAATTGGTTTGGTTGATCTTGGTCTGGTTTCTTGTGTCGTATGGCCGGCGGGACGGTTCTGAGCATGATGCTTGCCTGTATTGGTTTGCGTTGTTGTGCCGCTTCTGTTGTTTCTTTTTCTTCTGTACCGTTGTCCAGTTGTTTGCTGTTGTTTCCTCGTGGTTGGGGCTGTCACTTGGTGGGTTTGTCGGTTGCCATTCCGGTGGGAGGTTGAGTTCAAGGTTTTTTTAGTAGTTGCAGGGCCTCAGGTATGTTGGTAGCCATGTGTTGTGTTGTATCGGTTGTTACAATGAGGCGGAAGGGGAAGCCCCATCGGTATTTGATCCCTGCTTGTTGGAGACGCTGGGTGCATGGGCGCAGGCTTTTCCTCCGGTTTAGGGTATCCTGAGAAAGGTCCTGTAAGGCCAGAATGGGGGTTTCTCCATATCGAAGGTTGGTTGAGTTTTTGAGATGGTTCCATACCTCTTCCTTCTTTTTGTAGCGTGTGAAGCATACAATGATGTCTCTTGGGGGGGCGCTGGGTTTTGGCATAGGTTTTAGGGCTCTGTGAGCCCTCTCCAAGTCATCTGCCTCAAGTTTCAGGCTTGGGATTGTGTTTTTCAGCCAGCGTATAATTAGGTCTGCTGGGCTTTTCTCCTCTGTTTTTTCAGGAAAGTTGCGGAAGCGGATGTTACTGTGAATGGTTTCAGAACTCACAGAGTTAAAGAGTTCTGGTGACGTCTCTTTCCTGAGGCGTGGTTAGAAACACTTAAGGGAGGGGTTTGACTCCGTGTGTTTCAGTCTGACTTTCGGACGTGATGCGAAAGGGAGAATGTGTCAGTTCTCGCCAGGTCTGAATTTATGATGTTATTCTTCATGATTAAAAGGCAAGAGTAGATAAGGACTGCCTTGTGTCTGGACTGATTTATTCCACACGTGCTGCACTCTGCTTCTCACCGCTGTGTTTCGCTCTGCTACCGGCAAGAGAGAGGCCTGAGGAGGACTTTTGCAGGAAGCACGGATAGCTTGCAGAGTTCCGCAACGGAAGCGTGCCGGGCTCCATGTTCAGTCTCTGTGTACCCTCTTGTCCGGTGTAAATAATTCCAACAGGTTATGGAAGCTCGCCAAAGCTTTGAAGCATTGCAGGAACGTCCCACGTGTGGGGAAGCCAGCAGGAAAGTTGCTGGGGTCCAGCTGGAGCTCTGGAGCCGTGTCTTTGAAGCTGGAAGGAGCTCGCTGGGGAGAAGCGATCTGCCGGAGCCGGGAGGCGGAGAAAGCTACTGCCGGGCGACGTGAGTGCGCGTAGCCCCGGGGAGGAGATGGCAGACGATCGTGAATCATTCTCAGTTCCCTTTGAGAAATTAAATGGACAAAATTGGGCCGAATGGAGCCGGAAGCTAAAGGCCTGGCTGGTAGCCAAGGGGTTGTGGGAGGCGACCAAGGGCCCCCTCTCCCACCACCTGCAGCAGGAGCAGCAGCAGCGGACATAGCGGCTGCTCACGCGTCGCAGAGGAAAAACCAGAAAGCCCTGGGAGCTATAGTGCTCAGTTTGGAGGGTTCCCAACTTCCTCTGGTTGAAGGGCTTGAGACTGCTCAGGAGGCCTACCAAGCCCTTGAGAGGGTGCACCACAGAACCACGGCTGGTGCAAAGATCCACACCACCAGACGCTTATTTGAGATGAAGCTGCGTCCCGGTGGGAACATCAGACAGCATGTTACTGAGATGCTTTCTGTTTTCAATGAGTTGCGCCTGTTACAGGTCAACTTTTCAGAAGAGCTGAAGGTTTATATTTTGCTCAGCTCTCTGGACAAAAGTTATGACAATTTGTGTCTGTCTATGGAATCGATGAGTCCACAGGATTTGACGCTATCGTACGTGACAGGGCGTCTTTCGGACGAACAGGAGAGGCGTGTCCGAGAAGGCAGGTCTGGCGCAGGCAGCTCCACCGGTTGCAGAGGTGGGGGGGGCAAGCCAGATGAGAGCTGTGTTCAGGCTTTTTCCACTCGTCGATGTTATGTCTGTGGATCCAACAGCCACCTAAAACGGGCTTGTCCGCAGAAGAGCAGAGAGGCCGGGCAGGATGTCTCCAAGGTCAACCAGCTGAGTTCTCATGGGAACCAGTCTCGGAAAGGAGGCCAGCGTGGGAACGCGAAGGAGGGACGTGACTCAGAGAAGGGAGACTGTTATCATCTCGCGGCTTCTCTGGCAACTTTGAACAACAATGCCAGCAGGGACACAACTATGAAGTGGGTGCTGGACTCAGGAGCGAGTCATCACCTGATAACGCCATCTGCTGGGGAGCTGCAGAATTGCAGGGCTGTTTTAACTGGAATGACTTGTAAATTTGCTGACGGAAAAAAACGAAATGTATCTAAAGTGGCAAATGTCTATAATTCTGTTTTGCAGGCTGAGCTGGAGTGCTTCATTGTACCAGGGATGAAGTGTTGCCTGTTATCGGTTTCTGCTCTGGCGAAGCAGGGATACAAAATTTGTTTTGAAAATAACACCTGTTCCATTTTCAGAGGGGAGGCAACTTGTCAACGTGGAGAGCAAGGACAATCTCTTTGTTCTGGAAACACCTCTGGAGGGTGGTGGGAATGCAGGGAAAGCACAGGCGCAGTGTGCTAGTGTTCCCAGCCATGATTCATGTGTTCATGTATGGCACAAGAGAATGTCTCATGCTTGTCTGGAGGATGTTAAGAGGCTGCCAGGCTGCACCGAAGGATGTAAAATCACACCATGTGAGAGATCCCTAGTGTGCAGGGCATGCAGCAAGGTTCAAAGGTGCAGGTTTCCCGGGGTAAAGAGGGTAACCACAAAACCTTTGAGTTGATTCACACAGATCTGTCAGGACCCATGAGGTGTGAGAGTCTGGGTGGGGCCAAGTATGTGCTATCGCTGACAGATGACCACAGCCAGGTTGGCTGGTGTTTCTCTCTCAAATCACAGGGGGAGGCGGCGCAACTGATCCAGGATTGGGTTGCGGAGGTGGACCGACGGTTTTCCACCAGGGTGCAAGGGTTCAAGAGCGACCGAGGGTCACAGTTTACTGGGTCTGCTCTGGAGGAGTTTTTCAAGGAAAAAGGAATACGTCACCACGTGACGGGTGCAAAGTCTCCTCAAGGGAGAGGCGTGGCACAGCACAGGAGTGAAACACTGGCTGAAGCTGTCAGAGTTTTGCTGGGTGACTCTGGGCTGCCTCAGAGCTTTTGGAGTGAAGCTTGGAAAGCTGCCAACTTTGTTTTTAACAGGTCCTACAATCACGATGTAGGTGACACACCGTATTTTCTGTTGCACAAGAGGAAGCCACAGGTGCATTTCTTCCGTTCGTTTGGTTCCAAGGCTTCAGTGCCAATACCAACAGCGCAACGGAAGAAGGATGGTCCTAGGTACCAGGACATGATCTTCTGTGGGTATGATCCTGCAACAAATGGGTGGAAGTTTGCATACCCAGAGGGTGATCAGACCACGCTGCTGGTCAGCAAGCATGCTGAGTTCTTTGAGCAGGATGGTTGGTCACAGCCTAGGTATGGTTCTGATTTTCTCTCAGACTGCTTGTCCGATTCTGAGGGGGAGGAAAAGGAGGAAGAAAGGGAGGAAGGAGAGGCAGAGGCGGAGCCTGTTGCTGAAGACCAGGTTGCTGATGATGGTCAAGCACAGGGGTGGGTTTCTCCACAGGTTAAGAGGGAACCCAAGAGTGAGCCTTCATCTCCTGTTAGCCAAGTGCAGGAAGCCCGAAGACGCAGCAAGTCAGAGGGGAGTCTTCTGAGCTTGCTGGAGACACACTTGCTGACCCCAGTGGGTCAGGAGGAGCGCCTGAGGTTGTGCTCCGGCGGTCAACTCCGGACCACAAAGGGGATTCCACCGGAGAGGTTTCAGGTCACCAGTGCGTGGGTTGGTTTCGCACAGTGTGATTCTGGGAGTGTGGAAGGGATTCAACAATTGCCTGGGATGGATGCCAGTGGGAGGCAAAAGGCAATGGGAGGTGAGTTGAACTCAAAGAGGTCTGTAAATAGGGGTTCACAGTTTCCCCTCAGGATTCGTGACGAGAGGGGGTGTGAATGGTTTCAGAACTCACAGAGTTAAAGAGTTCTGGTGACGTCTCTTTCCTGAGGCGTGGTTAGAAACACTTAAGGGAGGGGTTTGACTCCGTGTGTTTCAGTCTGACTTTCGGACGTGATGCGAAAGGGAGAATGTGTCAGTTCTCGCCAGGTCTGAATTTATGATGTTATTCTTCATGATTAAAAGGCAAGAGTAGATAAGGACTGCCTTGTGTCTGGACTGATTTATTCCACACGTGCTGCACTCTGCTTCTCACCGCTGTGTTTCGCTCTGCTACCGGCAAGAGAGAGGCCTGAGGAGGACTTTTGCAGGAAGCACGGATAGCTTGCAGAGTTCCGCAACGGAAGCGTGCCGGGCTCCATGTTCAGTCTCTGTGTACCCTCTTGTCCGGTGTAAATAATTCCAACGTCTATTGCGGTCTTCGAGGTCGGCTTGCTTAATTTTCATCTCTCTGTGTTCTGCTTCCATTTGGTTTACCAGTTCGTCCAGTTTCTTGTTCACACGTGTGTTCTCCTCCCGGTATTGCTCTATTATTCTTTCTTGCATTTGGTTCTTGTTCTCTAGAGCTTCCACTTTGGAGGTTAGATTGTTGATTAGTACCTGCATGGGAGCCATTGTGGCCTTCAGTGTTTCTTCTAATCGTGCTTCTAATCTTGCTTCCATTTCCCTCAGATCTCGTTTCGTTATTGGGTGGTCGTCATCTTGAAGGGGAGTTACCATCTTAGCATTGTTTGCCATCTCCCTGGTTGGTGTCATCTCGGTCCCCTGATGGTTTTGGTTTGAGGTTGGCTTGGCGTCCTCTTGGGGTAGGGCGTGTGGTGGTTAGGAGTTGTGGCAGTGGTGATTCCTGGGTATTGTTGGGTTGCTGAGCTGATCAGGCTTTGTTGGCTGGTGGCTTCTACAGAGCGTTTGGATTAGGTGGTCATTTGTGTCACTTCTAGCCTGTGTTTTAAGAACTTCTCTAGGGCTTTTGTGGATGCCTCAGCGGTGCCGCCGAGGTGGGGGGGGGGCAGGTAAGCAGAGATGGGTAGATTAACGGACAGACAGTTCATATAAAAGGAGGGAATTAGCAGGTAGAGATGCAAGAGATTAGAGGGGTGGGGTCAGGGGAAATATGTGTTTAGGAGGGGGTTGTATATGCCCAGAAGGGGTATTGGGGTCCAGTTAAGGTGGAAGTTGGGGTTGGGAGTGCGCTCAGAAACAGAGACAGACAAATAGGCTATATGTAAAGGGTGGAGGGAGAAAAAAGGGAAGAAGAAGAAGAAAGAAAGAAGAAGGGGGGAGGCGGGGGGGAGGGGGGAGATTGGAGTAAAAGAGAAGAGAGAGAGAGGGACAAAAAGAGAGTTGAAAGAGCGGGGAGAGATAGTACAGTAATATCAGCGGTATTAGAATGCAGCAGTAGTTTTAGCTATAGTATGAGGGGGGCAAATTGTGATAGGGTGATATGAATGTGTGTATGTGTTTCCTTTAGGGGAAGGGGGATGGAGAGAGGGAGGAGGGAGAGAAAGGAGAGGAGGAGGGGGAAGGGTGGGAAAAGGAAGGAGAAGAAAAGAGAGGGGGAGAGGGGAGGGAGGGAGGGTGAGCTGCTGCAATGGTATGGGGGAAAGTCTTATTTTAAAATAGGGGGTGGGGGGGGAAAGGGCTCCCCTCTCAAAAACAAACTGATGAACAGGCTAAAAAGGGGGGTTGATTTAAAAAAAATTAAAGGGATAGAGAACAAAATTGGGGATGGGAAATGAAAGGTGGGATAAAAGGAAAAAATGAGGAGGGGTGAAGAGAGAGAGGGGAGAGAAAAAAGGGAGAGAAAAATAAAAAGGAGGGGAGTTGAGGGGGAGAGTATCAATAGCAATAGCAGTGATATGGAGGAAGTTTTTGTTTTAAAAGAGAGTGGTGGTCGTAGATGGGGCGAAAGATTCCCCCCCCTCAAGAACATGCCAACAAATAGAAAAGACGGGGCTGTAAAAAGAGAAAGAGGGGAGAAAAATAATAATTGTATGGTTTTGGTTTTTTTGTTTTTTTAAAAATAATAATAATAATAATATTTTCCCTAATTATTGTTATTATTTTTTGTTTGTAAAAAGTAATTAAAAATGTACGGGTAAAATATAAAAATGAGAATTAAAGGTTAAAAAAAAAAGGGGGTTGTCTTTAGATAGATAGATAGATAGAGCTTTTTATTTTATTTTATTTTAAAAATGAGTAAAGTATAGGTAAAAGAGGATAGGTAAAAGAGAGTGGAAAGTCTGGGCGAGTGGCAGTCCCAGGAAATGGCCTGTGATGGTTCAGGGCTGTTTCCTGGGTACTGCCATTTTAGTTCTTAAGAGGGGAGTTTGAGGTGGAAATAAAATGAGGTTTGAATTCAGAGTGTGTGTGTGGAAAAGTGTGTCTTTAAATAGTGTGTAGAAAAGATAGCAATAAAAATAAAGATTCAAATAAAGGGTGGCTGCAGCAGCAGTGGCCCCTCTTTTAAAAAGAAAAGTGATAAAAGTAGGTATATGGGGGGGGAGGGATAAAAAAGATATATATATATATAAATTTTAAAGTGGGCGGGAGGGAGGAAGGGGTTAAAAACAAAGGGGGTTAAAAAAAGAAAAGAGAAGAAAGAAAGGGGGAAATCCCCTTTGTTATGCAGCTTCTCTGTGTTTTCCTTGCTGCTGGAGCTCCCGGTGGGGCTCAGCCACGTGTTTTTTCCACGTGTTTTTTTTCCGGAGCCTCTTTTGCCTTCCCGTGCTCACCTACCTCTCCTCTGCTTTCCTGTCAGCAGAGATGGGGGCAGCAGCGGTAAATTTGGGGCTCCTTATTCTTTCTTTCTTTTCTTCTTCTTTCCCCTTTTCTTTTCTCCTCTCTGCGTTAGCTCCACTGTCCTCCTGGTTTTGGAGCTCCTCTCGGCTGTTGGGGGTGGTCGGGTGTCTTTCCGGCTCAATCTCTGTGGGGGGTGTTTGGGCTCCTTTGATAGGCCCCCGGGCACCCCCGATTCCTCTCCGCTGGCGGTGCTGGCGGCAGCAGTCCTGGGAGCCCAGGAGTCGGCCAGACAGAGCCTTTTACTCTGGCTGGCTTCAGGAGCTCT